ACTGGTTGGTCCAGATCATCTGCAAACAGCTGGTGCTCAGTACTGTCAACATTCCCCCCACTTACTTCCTCGTCTGCTGAAGTGAGCAGCAGCGTATCTGAGCCGTTAGAAGGCCTGAACGCCAACGTGGTTCAGAGGAACTACAGAATGTTTCTTCTTTCCAACCCCATTCAGTGAGAATTCCAAGTCAGCCCGTAGGCAGCTCGCCAAGCCAAGGCTGACCTTGATCCTGTCTGCAAAGAGAGCGAACGCAGAGGGCCAACCACATCACGGAAAGCCCACCTATCCCCGAGTCGGAATGTTTCCGAGCCTTTTCGCAGCATCATGCAGGCCCTGGCAAGTCATTCCTGCTGAGTACAGGAAACAACACACTTTTTCTTCCTGGTGGCGCCATCCGTCAGGATCGGCGAGGTTACGCTGCAATAACAACGATTCTCGTGGCTTAAAACCACCAGGTTTGTTGCTTCCACAGAGATTAGCTGAGGCTCTTTCCATGGCTGGAGGCCTGAGTCACATTCCCTGGGGAACTCTAGGTAATGGTGCCATCATTTTCTGGCATGTGGCCAGGGGCTGGGCCTGAGGGACTAAATGTTTTCTCACCAGCAATTGAAGGTTGAATCTTGTGATACCATGTTATTTCCACTCCCAGCTCACTGGCCAGAAGTGGTCATTAGGCCACCCCCCCACCCCCCAAGGGTACAGGAAGAGCACCCTTCCTCCGTGCCCAGAGGGCAGGAAGCCAGAAATTCTCAGGGAGCCTGACTCCTGCAGTCTCCCAGGATTTGAAAACTCATAAACTTTCCTTTCTGTCCAAGTCTCAGATTCAGACCTCTTGCTGGTCTGGTTTTAATGAACCGGGACTCGTGAGTTTTGACCTTGCCAAGTTCCAAAGCAATTTAGAAGAAAAGTTACATCAACTTGAACAGCAACGGTTAGCTTAGGGGGAAAAATACAGTGGGGCCTTGACTTACGAGTGTCCCGACTAACGAGTTTTTCGAGATACCAGCCGTCTCTCTCGGCCGATTTTTTGCTTTGAGTTGCGAGCTAAAATTCAGGTTACGAGCCAGCTTCAGATACCCCACCGCTAGTTGGCGCAGCGAACGTCACAGTGAACGCCACAACATCAGCCCAGCATCACGTGTCTCACTCGTTCACTTTTTGATTTGACATACGAGTAATTTGAGTTACGAGCTCGGTCACGGAACGAATTAAACTCGTAAGTCAAGGCCCCATTGTATACAAAATATCCTTATCTGCCTAATGACACTGTGACATGTCTTCACCCTACTTTACTGAAAACTAAGACGACTGCATGTCTTTATAGAAGTCCTATGATTTTATAGTCTTGTTCGGCTATCCAATAACAAAAGCCAATGGGAATGGGATGTTTCCAACCCTCTGGGAATAACTATTGCACAATCGTGGGTTCTATTTACCCAGAACTCGCTACCGACATGTCCTTTTTCTAAGTGTTCAGCAAGGATTATCTCATGACATCCTCACCCACGAGGTAAGCCGTTACCATTCCCACTCTACAGAGGTGAAGCCTGAGGCCCAGAGGGGTTAAGCAACTTGCCCAAAGCCACCCAGCCAGAGAGCCCCATGTTATATTCCCTTCCTGTTTGCTAAAAAGCAAGATACTTGCTACCAATTAAGCCTAGTCTGTCCTCTGGGGGCAGCAGGTCCCTTGAAGGTAGGAGAGGGGCCTCTCTTGCAAAACATGTCCCCGCTCTGGAATTCTCCAGGGTTCAGAGGCAACACCTCCCTCCCCCCAGAGGTGAGTCTGGCTGCTGACGCTTGCAGGAAAAGCCAGCCTGGCACCAGATCTTTTCTTAAACCCCAGCAGCCAACACAGTATCCAAGAAAGCACGTGACTGAGCAGAAGCGAATGAGGCCTGTGTTCTCGCACACCCGGGAACAACAAGACATGTGCGCACATACACACACATGCACACACACACACACCGTGGCTCCCAGCTCCTATTATCCAGCTTCACGCTGGAAATTCCCGGCTATTCATTTCTTTGTTTTTTCTGTCTGGCCTCACCCTTTCTGGGGAATGTACACAGACCAC